GCTGACTTTTATGGCAACCGAAAGTTGGCCCGACGGATATTTTGGACTGGCATACACCAACCCCCCGGATTTGCCACGGATTCGACCAAGAGACAGACCTCTCACCACATCACCACAGAGTTCTCCCTGCGTGATGGTCGGATCGTCACCAGAACGTGAAGGCTGTACGCGCCACACTTGTAGGCGTCTTTGAAGCTAGTGGTGAGTGCTGTGGGGTCTGTGTGTGCTGAGAAATGTCAATCCCTGTGAGCAAAAGTAAGAATCTTTATGAAAATTCGGCGAGGATTGAATTTTGTGATAGCAACTCGAGGCTTTCCAGTCTTTTAGCGGTGAATGGAGTCGAGGGCGCACACCGCGACACGCTCGCCTACCGACCACGACAACGAGTTCTGTACACAGAGTAGATGACATAACATGTCACACTCCCTGACCAATTTGTTATAATTTACAAAGCTCGATTACTCCACAGCAGAAAGCGTGGCGCGGCCGGGCGGCGTTGGCACCGCTAGCTTTCCGAAACAAACCTATAGTTAGACATCCTCGTCGTCGTGGACTTACATTATTAGCTGTAACTATCGATGATGCGATATATTATTTCACCTACTGCCGGTACATGCCGTGCATAAGAACAAGGAGCACCCTCCATACTCCAGTAGGTTTTTGTATTTATTATTTTGTAGTTCGATTGAAACCTCTCATTATACCCATCCATGAAGAAGTCGTTTTATACGCTAATACTTCATAAGTGCTGCAAAAAAATATCCATGGACGAACCCAGCAGTTAGTTCCGTTGTTGCTGTCTTCACAATCAATTACAATCCCGTTCGTGCTGCTCTCTCTACCCAGTACCTTCTTCGTCTGTCCGTGCTACTATGTATGATAGTCTGACACCTGACGCGGTCGATCCCCGCGGTGGTCACAGGCCTACGTACCCAAAAACGTTACACGAAAATAATGCTGACTCGAAGAAGGGTCCGCAAGTCAACGACAGATAAGTCTAGGACCCCCGCTTGCCTTAATACGCTATGCGAGGTAGTAGCCATGGACTGGACAATAAAGAAAAAAAGCGAGTATTTCAGATGGATCCAACCTAAGCGGGGAGGAGTCTAAAATTGGTGTTTATTGGAGTCGATGAGAAGTGAGCATTTATTATTATGTGCCAAAGAGGATGTCTGCGTGCGTATAGAAGAGGAGGCATGCGCACCGAGAGAAGGCAGCTGCTCGCAGGACATTCCGTTCGCGCCCGATCACGTTGAAGCATCATCAGTGCTGGAGCACAGGGAGTGCTAAACGTACGAGTGGACAACACTGCCAGCTACTACCTGTTAAGACGTTCTGTTCCGGGGAGCTAGTGTTGTCATCTTTACCGGCGGGGCGACGACCAAGAATCTGGGCGACGGAGTCGATACGCCGTTCTCGGAGAAGCGTCGACTACTTCGGTACGTGCGATGTGACGTTGCGTGTGGTTCCACAGCATAACAGAGAGCGCTAGCTGTTAACAAACAGCGGTCAGCGCACAGTGATACGTATCGTTCTCCAGGAGGCACACGGGGGCATAGGCCAGACGGGCACAAATGCCATGTGAAGTTGGCGGGCGGGTGTGCATATGATATGTCGACGTTCTTGGGGGCTTGCTCGAGCAGGGCGATGTCTAGCTGATGATGCTACTGCAGTGCGTGCGCTGATGTGCATGGAGCGGCGCAGTTTCAATTACAAGAATAACAAACCAAGTGTGCAACACGCGACAGAGGATGTCATACGAGCATGCCAGACACAACCGAACCCCTTTGCGTGCGAAGAAGGTGTCACAAAGACCGCTAGGAGCGGGCCAATTTGGTTTGTTTGTTTTTTTTTCAAACTTCAACGCGTGCGTAGGCATACGCCGCCAAGCAGGAGAAAATACAGACTATTACGTCGCAAGAACGGATTTAATTTCTAATTACAGCAGTCTCGAAGACTGCTGTGGTGTGGTTGTGCTAACACAAATCACAATTACCGGACGAGGCACAAGTTTGAGTGCAGGTCCTCAATCACACGACGAGGCACGAATACTTGAGTGCAGGTCCGTCGGCTCGAGGAAAAGGTGGCCAAGAGACGAAATACATACTTATACGTCGTAAGAAGAGCAGCTGTAATTTTTAATTTCCGGTACAGCAGTCTCGGAGACTGCTGTAGTGTGGTTGTGCTATCACAAATCACAATAATAAGACGAGGCGCAAGTTTGAGTGCAGGTCCTCGATCAAACGACGAGGCACAAATATCTGGGTGCGGGTCCGTCGGCCCGAGGAAAGGTGGTGGGTATCCACATCAACACCCAACACCCACTTTGATGTTGCAGCAGCTTGTAATTCGTGTACACTTGATGGACGGTTCGCAATGTAGGTCGTCGTTTATGGAAAAATCGGTGGCGCGGCTGGCAGAAACATACAACGAATCGATATAGAGCGAGCTAGTACGCTGGTGCGTATGATGCCGGCTCACGGTTATGGATTATAGACCAGGGCACGGGTCGTCTGGAGATGAGCCGTGGTGGTCAGGAGCCGCACACAAGGGGCGTGACGTGTATGTCGCTGGTGCGGCTGCGATAGAGTATGCGGTCGTGATGATACATATGCATACTGAATGTTGCTCGAACCGGTTTGCACGTACGATTTCGAAGGTAACACTTCAAGATGCACGCTTTTCGCCTTGGTTGCGTGAAAAAATGTCACCATCGCCATCGCCACCATTCCAGCCAATGAGTTGAATAACTCCATCGTGATGGCCAGCGTTACAGTCGCCCTATCGCGTCTTCTCGTCCGGCGACTTAGCCACGCAAGAAGGGGCAAGCGGACGGTATCGCAATTCAGTCTGAACAGGTATAATATGAGTGTCGGCGGGGTGACAGAAACTTGTGTTAACAACACATCTGTCTTGTTTGTGGCAGTGTTCGACAAAAAAACAATTACCGTCACATAATGCACATGTAAGTGTTTAGCATACTTCGCGGACTTGCGTGACAAATGTTGTTCTTGTTCCTGCTGTTGTTGTTGGTCTCGTGTCATGTTGTTGAACGATTTTTTCTAAGTTGCAGTTTACGATCTGAGGGCACCACGTCCGGTATATATGGCAACCTGTCAACACCTGTGATCGCCAAATACATGCTGTTGTAAACGTCGGTGCGTCAAATTGGCTGCTGTTACACCATTCCCCAACACGCCTCGCTCCGCGCTCATTCGTTACACACAAACAACTCTGCTGTACCAACACATGCGACGTGTCTTGCGGTCTCGACCGGCAGCAGCAGGTTTGCCGGCGCAGCGCAACATATGCAAGATACAAAATATGC